CCCCCCGCGCACAACCGAGGGGGGCCCCATGCCCCCCATGCCTCCCCCGAAGTGTGCACAGCAGCAGGGAGCTACCCCCCCTTTCCCACCACCCCATGCCCCCCTGAACGAGCTGCCCACAGTTCCGTCCTACTCCTGGGGTCCGATTCACCACCCTGGCTGGGCAGCACCTGCCTCTCCCTCCCTCACCATGGGGGCTTCAATCTGCACCTACCCACACCCCCTTCCCACCACAGCCAAGCTGCCTGGCTGCATTCCTGGCCACATGGATGCTGAGGCTTCGCACATGCACTCAACATTTATCGGTGACATGATCAGCTAATAAAAGCCAACCAATTACTGATAATGTTAAATTTTACTTTTATCAGTTCCGGTCTGATATGCCACCGATATATCGGTGCACCTCTATTTATTTCCTCCTACCCAGGTATAGATTGAAATAATTGGTTCCACTTGGCCATTTGCTTGTTCCCTCTAGTGGTGAGAAAAAACTCTGAAGTCCCCCCAGCATATTTATACTTAATATTTAGAGCAATAGACAATAATTAAAACAACTGCTTATTTTCCAGCATGCTAAATATATGCAGTAACTGGGCTGGGAGGGGGAGAGAACAGGTTACCAACTTGGCTTCTATAGGCTGAGCTCACTGCATATGCCAGTAACTCCTTTAATTTCTCCATTCTATTCCCCCCCACAAGTTCCCCATGTGCCAGTCTCCCAACCCCCACTATTTAGGACTCTCTGCAATTCTCCTCCCCTCCCCAACACAAAGATCCTGGGGTCCCCTCAAGGTCTCTCTTCCTACTGGCAATGGCCTTCATATACCTTCTCTTCCATCCTTTCTGCTATTGTTTACCCCATTCCAAGGGCCCCCGTTCTCCTCCATGCCAGCAGCTCTGTGCACTCCATTCTACACTGGGGTATGGTTTTACCCACCATGCTAGAAGTTCCTCCCATGATTTTTCACTTATCACAAACCAAACCTGTACATACAATCCTTTTCCCTCTTCATCAGAACTATCTGCCTGGAAAATCAATCAATCAATCAATCAATACATCAACATGTTAAATTCTCCTGGAAGAAGTAGTAGATGCACTGGAAGGCACTAAGGGGTTCTTTCAGATAGGTTAGCCTATGAATAACAGCAGAGGTGCTTGAAGCTGTGTTTCTGCTAATAGCATGGTACGGACTTTATGCATCTAATTTTCACACACTCAGATTTCCAGTTTTACCTCCCAAAAATCAGGAGTTCCCAGAAATTTTGTAATTGGCTGGCTGTGATGTTCAAAATTATCACAGTGCATAGAGCAAATGTAGTAGTGTCACGGATTGGTTACAAACACATTTCTATCATTGCTACTGGTTGTTCGAAGCTGCTCCGAAACATGTGCAGCTTGTACTTAATAGAAATAAAAAACAAAACAAAGCTCTAAGAAGACAACCAACGCATGTGTTAAGATGTCTACTAGCACAGCAGTCCTGAACTTCAATCTGAAAAAAATTACAGGAGTTGACTTACCATATAGTGCATTCTTTGATGGGGAATACACGAAGGCTAGTGTGTAGAGATAGAAGTTCAACAAACCATAGAATGATAAGAATTCTGCTGGTGGTAGTGGTCAAGGACATTACATAATACAGCTCAATCAATACAAATTAAACTTTAAAGCAAACTACCACTCACATGCAAGGCAGAATTTTCCCTAAAACAGTCTGTCTCTAAAATGCTGTCACACTTTGTTTCCTAGCAATTTCAATGTACAGAGTTTTCACTATATTGTCTCAAGTTCTGGAATATCATGGATTTGCTTTCACTGCTAAATGAAACAGATTTTTACTCCAACCTTAGGTCTCACACACGTTACCCTGAGCTGACATCCAGTGAAGACTAGGCACTTAAATTCTACCATGAGATAAAAGTCTCACTGTGGGGAAACAGAGCCAAATCTTTGCAGATTTACATCTTGGGAAAACTGAAGTGCCTTAACTGTGTATTTTACCCGAGGATAGCTCCATGCAGTAGTTACCCTGGTGTAAAATAGCATTTTTCCCCAGCAGTGAAAGCAAGCCCTGAAGTCTAGTTTGATTTTGCCTTACATTACGTTAGAAAGAAGGGATTGCGCAGAAACAGGACACTAAAGCACAGTTACAGCTCCTCAGAACATGAGGAACATGTATATTAGAGCTCTACATTTTGGTTTCTGCTTGTTCCCGACAACTTCTTAGCTAACACTGAACGTCTGCAGTCCCATAATCAACTTCAGAACCTAGAGTCAACTGTATTCTAGTGGTTCAAGTCCAGAAGCCAGAAATAAGTTATAATCCTGGCCCCGATACAAATATCAGACGTGGCCTCTAGGAAGTTGCTCAGCTTCTTTGCCCTGACTTTTCCCATCTCTGAAATGGAAACAAGGCACCAACATACTTAAAGACTGCATGTCAAAGTCGACAGAGACAACTCCTTGACCATGAAACCAGTTTTGTGGCTCTCACTTTGTTAGAAACTTATGCATATAAAAAGCTATTATGTCTAGACCAGTGGTCCCCAATGCAGTGCCTGCAGGCGCCATGGTGCCCCCCAAGGTTTATTCAGGTGCCTGCATGCATTTTCACGATCAGAAAAATGATTATTCGAACAAATATTTTTTACATAAATATTTTTGTAAGAAAAAGGAAGCTGCATTTTGAAGTTGCGGATCTAATGCAATTTTAAGTAATGGACGAGATGATCGGATTGATCTAAATCCTAAACTTTAATATTCATATTGGTGCCTGTTGCTTTTTCTTTAAATTCGAATGTGCTCTTGGGCACCAAAACATTGGAAACCCCTGGTCTAGACCATGGATGTCAGACTTCCCTGGGACCCCAGGCTGGATTCAGACTGCTGGGCTCCTTGTGATCCAGATCCAGACACAGCGGTGGCAATGGAGCAAGCAGTTGTTAATGCAGCAATCGCTTGCCCCCTCCCTGCACTGCCAACATGCATTCCCAATGGAGCTCTGTACTCTGGATTTCAGCAGTGAGCCCTGCCCTCACTCACCCCATCCCTGTGGAGATCCATAAGTCAAGGGACACTGCTCTGCAAGCCAGAGCTAGCTTCTGGGCCACATATTTGACACCCCTGGTCTGTCTTCAATGAATGGGGTTACACATCCCAGTATTAAAAAAAATATCAGTGGTAGGTCATCAGTGACACTGTTATAGCACTGGAGCAGCTGTACCACTTGTACAGCAATAAAACATGATTTCCTTGAAGTTACTAAGGTAGATAACTGGAACAAGATGTGCATGAACCCTTCTAGCTGTACCATGCACACTTATTCTGTGATAATCTAGTTCTGTAGTGGAAACCCAGCATCACCTAGAAAATGAGAAATAGCAGTCAGCAACACTACTTCCAGATGCACTTTATAATTATGCCATAATCAACCTGGGTTAAACAACCTCTGCTGAGCAAGAGGTGAAAAAGCACCAATCCCCTGAGCCAGCATGGGGATCCATTTAAATGAAGTACGTAAAACTTTTTATAAGAGACTGGAAGTCACAATGGAAGGATATAATTCTGATAATGAGTTGACAGCTCTGCTACAAAGTTGTCCTGTAGTACTTGTGCACCAAAGCGCAGATAAAGTATAACGATGCTGTAGGAGAAGCAGTGAAGAGAGACACAGTATGGGTACATGAAATGAAATCTGGTAACATGATTGATAAATATTGCCAACATCTTTTACTTTAAGAAAGTTTAAAAAAGATTAGAAAGGTTACAATGCTAAGAAAACATACTTTAAAAGCTTACCTAATGACAAGTACTACAAAGGTCAATGCAGTCAAGAATTTTAACCTGAGATCTGGAAAGATTGAGAGGGGAAAAAGTGTCAGTCATCTCAGAGCTCAGACACACAGCTAGGGAAAAACAACCTGTTTGTCAAAGAAAAAAGAAAAGCACTGCTTACCAATATAAGGCATATTACGAAGTTCTGAACATGCCCTCACTATCAGGAACAAAAGGTACAAAATGTATATGGCTGCCACCACAAGGAAGAAGACTTTCATACCCTATAAATACAAAAAATGTTGCAGTTTTACTGAACCAGAGGTCCACCATCTCCAGAAGTACAGAATGGAGGGCCATTTTTCAGGACAGGCAGGGTGGAGGAAGGAGGTGTGATGCTGGGACTGGCTGTGGTGGTTGTATCAAGGGTTGGGGTTTTTTTAATTATTATTTTTGTTTGTTAGTGAGGGTCCCGCAATGGCAATAACCACCTCCATCAGTGGAATAGCTTGATTCTCAGAAATTTTCTAAAAATGACAAATACATTTCCTGAAAAGACAGAGGAAACTGAAGTGATATAGATAAGGAATAAAGGATATAGGGGATTGATAAGGCCTAACTGAAGTCGCCTCTCTGTGCCTCACTGGAAAGTAATGAGTCACTGAGTTTATTTCTGATAAGTCTGGAGAAGCCCTGAGTTGTTGCAATTGAGTAGCAGATGTTTAAAAAACAGTTCTGACCATCTTCACTGATACGGCTACTCAATATGGCATTCAAAGGAAAACACCATGAAAAATGTGCCCAAAGACATTCAGGTGTTAAGGTCAAAAGGAGCATTCAGAAGTCTCTAGAAAAAGGAAAGGGGGGGAAAAAAAACCCCCAACCCCACAGGACAATTTACATTAGTGAAAATAAGAACAAAACTAAAAGCATTAGAATTTTTTTTCTCAGAAACTAGTAAAGCACATCTTCAGATCATCCATTCAAGATATGGTTTTCTTTAACATTTTCCAACAATAAGACAGTTATACAAATCAAAAACAATTTAATATATTTTTTTTTAACTTCAGACCCCTCTATTCTAATCCTGCTTTACTAGACACACAAATGCATATGGACGTGTTAAAGATTAACTTACCTGAAAGTTACCGGTGTCAACCCTGTACTGGTATGTTGGGTCATGTAGCTCATTAATACTAGAAAAAGATCAAGAAGTTATAGCCATTGTAATAGTGTAAAGGTTAGGGGGAGAAATAAAAAAAAAAAAAGGACTGCGACTGAAAAAGCTACAGTATAAACTCTAGTTTGTTAATGTTATATGGTGATCATAATTACTGTAACAACAAGTGTAGCTCCATGGCTGCCTATGGAGTTAGTGAAGCTCAGCTGATTTGAATGAAGCCATGCTAATTCACTCCAACTGAGGAACTGTCTCCCCACCCTAATGCCACTTGTCATGTATGTGAGGATTCTGGTTTCAGCTATTCTGTATTATATTTCCATGTTTATTTTTGGCTGCTATAGCACCTGGTAACTTAATGCAACTTACAGTTTTGAGGCTTATTTTATATTACATGAAAAAGCTGCAGGATTAGGTCTTCTCTTAATTAAAGTGAACAGTTCCCTCCAATCTCAGTGGTGTTTTTCTGCACCTACACTGCTCTTACCTTGACTTTTTAACCTGCCCCACCTTACACTTGCTTATTTTTCCCTCCAAGAACAAAACAGGGATAGAGTTGAGTAACAAGGTTTAGAAAGCCACAACAGCACAAATACTGAAGCAGCTCTCTATGGGAAATGCTGCCACCTTTCGGTTGGCTTACCTAATTGGAATTATTAAAGGAAATGATTTATGAGGGGAAAAAACAGAACAATTTGAATGACTTGGCTAAGTAATGGGTGCAAATACTGAGGTGGCAAAAAAATTGTTCAGTGGGGGTCCCAAAGGGTATAACAGACTGATTCAAGGAATAAATTGAACAAAGAGAACAAACACATACCAACAGTAAGATTTATTTGATTCTGTAATGTCTTTCCAACAGAAAGAACCTCTATCATAAAAATACTAAGAGCTAATTGGACAGCGCACAAGAGAAGGAGCTGTGAAAATGATGATTTCCAACTCAAACAATATGATTTATGCAATTATTTGCCATTAATGCTGACCTTTTGAAAGGTTTCCCACCCTCTCAATTAGTCAGAAATACAGAATGCAAAGATGTGAAAGAACTGAAGTATAATTATTTATTCATTTCTGGATCACAATCAAAGTGTTAAGAGGCAACATACATCATTAACTGTAAATGACCTACTCTTCCTCAAACAACTTTTACTGCTAATATTTAGGGCAAAAGGAAATTACTTACGTCTGCCATATTCCTAATGTGACCGAGGCCAACCACAACAGCCCAACAATAAAAAATTTGGGAAGATAAAAAGTTAAACATTTTCTTTCTCCCTGTTGGGGCAAAAGAAAACAGGTTAAGAGGAGGCAAATTCACATTTGAGTAACTGAGTTAAATACTGACATAGTAAAATAGTAATAAAGTTACTTCTGGCTCACTTACAAAGTACCTTTAAAAAAAAAAAAAAAAAAAAGCAATCCAAAAAACCCAAACCAAAACCTGCAGATGTTAAAATACAGTCAGCTATAGAATATATTAAGACATATTATTATCATTTGTTAAAAAGACAGGGTGGCAGATTTTAGACACCTTATTTCCAAAGTTAAAAGTACTTTGATTCTGCAGCTACAGAATACAATACTGCTGTGCTCCAGAATCCAATTTTTTGGTGGTTTTTTTTACAATTTATTTTGCAAACAGAACACAAAACATACATACAAACCCTAAACCTAGTGGTACCTGGGGAGAAGCCCAGGGAGATGCGAGGGGGTCAGAAGGGGGGGCAAGGTGTAGAGATTTATCTCTTTGCCCTGTATCACTGCTTTCCCTGCCACTGCAGCACTGCAGGGAAGGAATTTAGGATGATCCCCCTCCCCAATAATTAGATATATGGAAAATTATAAACAAATGTATACAATTTTCCACATATAGAATCCAATTACTGGGGAGTTGTTTTAAATTCAAAAGTTGTCTTGGATTCAGGTAAATATGGTATATAAAGACATGTGAACTGCACTACTTAGCTCAGAATAGCAAATGTCCCAGTTGGCCAATTTTGACCAGAAAACAACATTAACATTTACTATGCTAGTCTTGTTGCTTCTGGTTACACGAAGGAACAAAACCTCAAATGAATTTGTAGTGACTGTTCATGAGTCAAGGATACAAACCTTAACATAATTTTGTAGCCCTGAATCTATCCAGTGATGAGCAAGAACATAGGAAGCAGAGCTATCTATGACAGAAAACTGCAGTTTATCATACTGGACAAAGTAAAATGTCACATTATACTGTGGACAGAATCAGCTTTGCTGAGCCTTTCGCAATAAGCATGCTTTCATTTTATCAGCCACTGAGGGGGTAGGGAGGCACTATATATAGGCTATGTAAACACAGGGAGGAACTAAAGAGAGATACATCGATCAATCCTAGTCTCTTCAACAAATATTAGATATTGTCCTGTCTGTACCTGCACTCTTATCCCATGGTAGACGCAGAGCCAGAACAGTAACAGTGCACACAAGAACAATGACTGGAAGAAGTCATCTAGCATTCCAGGAAACCAACTGTTCACCAGAAAAGAGAGGGGGAAAAATGGATCTGTAACAGAATAAAAGGAAAAAAGTTAAACGAGAAAAAGATACACCTTTATCCACTGTCAAAAGAAAACAGGCTTGGAGGTGGGGGGAGCGGCATGTAGCAGGGGCACACACATCAGGGGCAAGGTACAGGAGGCCAAGGGGCAGGGGGCACAGTTTAAGACAACCTCCAATTCTTTCCATTGGACACTGGAACAAAACTTTATAATTTTTCCACGTAGAAAATCTAATGATTGGAGAATTAAGAAGTTGGAGTCATCTTGGATTTGGGTAAATATGGTAAGTGGCACTGCAGTTTGCTAATGCTGAAAGTTAATTATGAATACAGGCATCTCCAACAGTGAATTTCAACAGCAATCACTTAATGATTACCAGAGATTTCCAGGAGACTTGTTACCTCTCACCTCTGTGTTCTTGGGGAACCCTGGCACAGGACACAGCCTATCTGACTCGCAAAGAACTCTCCCCCTCCCCGCCTCTGCCTGAACAAGAACTGATTAGAGGAAGGACTTACAAAAGACAACGAAAATCCAACGGGAGACGCACCTAAACCCCTCCAGACAAGGTTCATAGGAGTGAAGCAACTCCCCTGGTCTCATT